TAATAATTACAATGAATAATTCATTTCAATCAAGTATAAAGTAAACATCAAATTCTTCATATAATTTAATGTTTATTTTATATCTGTTTTCAGGTTTGCGTTGTTAATATAACTGAAAAGGTATGTATTGTTAGCACAAACAAGTGAACTGTCTGAATAAAACGAATTGGTGCGCACCAATAAACATTTTGGCGACCCACAAAATTAATTTAATGTATATTGATTAACTTGTATTATAATATACCTACATGTGTGTATATATACACGTGCATGATAAGATATATGTATATATTTGTATGTGGTTTTTTGGATAAGATTTTGAGGATTTTTTTAATTTTAAATTAAAATTTAATATTCAAGTTTTTGTGGGTGTGTTGTTTGTATATTTAAACTTTTGTATTCATCGTGCCAAATTTATCTCTAAATTATCCAAACATTACCCGATTTTAATACACACTTGCATAAATATAAAGAAAATAATAATAATAAATGGTAGTATGCCCGAAGGCAGGTCCATGGTGTGAGAGGCACCACAAATAAACTTCATTTTCTAATACATTTTTTATGTATTTTTCTTTCCAAACTTCTGATTTTATGCTTCCTGGTCCTTGTACTTGCATTTTCCTGTTTTTCCTCATCTCGCGTAAGTCACCAACCATCTGCATTCTTCTTCTTTCTATTCCTTTCAGTCTTTCTATTTTATCTTAGACTATATCATGTAGAAGAAATAGTTTTTTGCAGAATGGGTTCGATCCAGTTTCCTTTTCTCTTCAGTACAGCTCTTTTATCGCCCACTCTTCTCAGGACTTCTTCATTTGTCTTTACCCTTTATCTTCTTCATTCGCCTTCAACACCACCACTTCAGATATTTCTTATCGGTCTTTCTTAGATTCCATGTCTCTGATCCATACAGAGCTATGCGCCACACGTAAATATACATGCGTGTATATATATTGAAGATCAATTTTTTTGATCGTGGGGACACTTTGTAATTTTGATTCTATGAGTCATTTTAAGAAACTTTTTGAAGAAACCATATTTCAGAGAGAGATTACGAACCAGCGAAATTTTCAATAAATTTTTGGAATTGAATTTGGAGCTGTCAAAATTTTCAATAAAGTTTTTTTATGACTTTGGGAATTTGATGAAACTTTGCATGGTTATGATCTATAACCAGGTACGTTGGTATTTGGTACCATACTATCCATATCCATGGAGTTGATAGTAGACAGTAAGAGTTAGGGGTCGCCTTATCCACAGGACTATCCTAATTATTTTTTAAACCTTTAATTGATTTTCATAATCTAAACACTACTCATAGACCATTTATATTTCAAGGGGTTATTCTCTATAACTATGCAAAGTTTATCAAATCCTTTGACAAGTCAATTTACTCTGGTAGAAGTCTGATTTGCTTGTAAGTTGACATTTGAATATATGGAATGGAAATTATATTGACAGTTTCGCTTGCTCGAAAATCACTTCCGAGCTATGAATTTTTTGGAAAAGTTTTTGTAAATAACAGATGAAACAAGAATCTTGTTGTGCAATTAGTGTATAATTTATGTATGTTTGTGATTTAGATCAAATGTATGTATATATAGTCTCTCGATTTAGCTTGTGCACAAATTGACAACAGGTAAGTATAATAAGTAAAATGTATTAGAAAAAAAGCATGATTTTTTATGAAAATATATATGTATATATATGTATATATATATATATATATATATATATATATATACCGGTGCATACAGAAACATATACACATGATTTTTTACTTAGATATAAATATCCTGAATGACTAATTATACTACTCTATATACTACTTTTAAAAGTAATTGAACGTTTAATATTATATTGCTACATCCAATATTATTTTAGACACTATTCGTTTAATTACAATTTTTTGTATATATATATATATATATATATATATATATATATATATATATATATATATATATATATAATATAATATAATTTTGAATCTGACTTCGACATATATATTAACGGAACCTAGAAATTGGGCGTAACATCAATAAAAACTTTTTTTTAAAAAAAAAATTACTCTAAAATTCATACGTTTCGGATATAGACTCACCCTTCATTCAGGTGAAAAATAAATAAGACTATATTTGTTCATAATAATTGTTAATAAGTAAAAAGTCTTTACAGTTTGTAGTATTCAAAATATATCTAACACTTATCTGTTGTATGAGGATATAATATATAACACTGCACTAAGTAATAAAAAAATTAGGAAATGTTTAAGTATTTATATAAATGCATATCATAATTAAACTAAAATTACAATTTTAGCACATTGTAATTGATTTATAATGGTAACAGTATTTTAAAGAATATGTTTCAACTTGGTTACGACATGTGGGAAACTGATTCTGGCGAATTTTTTTACTTGTGCATTTATTACTTGATGAAATTCGATTTTCATGAATTTTATTGATGGTACGTGGTACGTCTGATTATTAGATTCTGCTAATATATATAAATATTTCAAAAAATCTTTGAAATACAGATATTACTAATAGTCCAGTCATTTAAGCTTAAATTAGGTAAGAATCTCGGAATTCTAGATACCCAGCTGTAAGTCTGTAAATACTTGTATATTGACGCCTAAAAGTTGTCTCAAAACTTACATATTGTAGGGTGTACGCAACATATGTAGGTTTTGAGACAACTTTAGACTCTCAATATACAAGTATTTACAGACTTACAGTTGGGTATCTCGAATTCCGAGGTGAACTTACTATAATGACTGGACTATAATGTTTTAATTAACTCTGAAAACCTGGCTCGTCAATATACACCTTTTTCCATAAACGACATAGTGTCTAAAATTATTGTTTCATGTAGCAACTTCAATCACTTTAATATAATACTGGAATTAGCTGACACTAAAATAATTTTGTGTCTTTGTTACACAGAATTGTTAGTTCAGTAATAAATATATAATTTAATAAACCTTAATCATAAATGTTTTAAAATTAATTTAATCCCAATTCAAACTGATTTGATCCCAAATCTAATTAAGTAGTAAAGCAATTACTATACTTGTAAGTTTTTAATTTTATTTATTTGTGCATGTATAGAAATAAATAAATAATGTTTCAATTTACGACTATGTATAACTCGTATAAATCTATGAGATTATTTTGATTTATTCAACTTGATTAATTTATTTAGCATGTGATATGAACGTACACAAACGATGCGAGGAGTCGGTTCCAAATCTATGTGGCTGCGATCACACTGAACGACGTGGGAGGATACAATTGACAATCACTTGTATAGCCAACAAACTCACAGTTGAAGGTATTTTGATAGATATTTCATATAAATTAGTGAGTGCCAACTCGAATCAAGTGATTCGAATCAAACCCTTATCAACCTGTTTCGAATCACATTTTAGTTAATTCGGATAAACCTGTATCAAGCCGAGAAATATTTACTGTGATATGATAAGTAGTATAAATTATTTTTTATGAACATAAATTTTAATGTGCGTAAAAAGTAATTTTAACTAGTTGGGATTGGTGTTTTGCCTTGTGGCAAGTTATTATACCTAATTGAAAACGAACGAATACCTTAATTTAGAGTATTTTCTAAAAGCAAATTTTCAAAAATCAACTTAAGACCAAGTACTCTATCATTAACTATACCAAATAAATCGTCTAATTCAACATAAAAAAACTACTCTTGATGAATTTTTAAAATTAAACTACATACTTGTCGTAAGGCCGTAATGTTACAGTAAGTTCTATAAGACCATGATATATATCGTCAAAAAAAGTTCCATAAAAATCGACTTAATTTTTTTTTCAACAACGAATTACAAGAAAACGTCTCAGTAGATTTTCACCTAAAACTAATCAATATCATTCCCAACTAATATATTTCGAACAGTTTTTGATTTTTTAAAATCGATTCGGTAGTATGAGCCTAAATGTGGACGAAAAGGTTAACACTTTTTTCCAAATTACAAAGAAACGGCTTGGCGCACAAAACTGACAAACGATAGTCCTCATTGAGATACAGTATATACTAAAAACATTTATTATTGCCTTATTATAATACTATTAATAAAAACTTGATATTTTTAAATAAATATTGTTTACAGAAAATCGGAAAATTCATCTTGTATTATTCAGAATCGCTGAAAATAAATAATGTATTTTCAAAGAAAAATTTTTTTGTTCTCATTTGTATTTCATATTATTTATGGCTATATTTTTGTGAACTCAAATCCTCTGTTTTTCATTTTTTACTTAATTATTCATGTGTAATTAATTGTACAGGATATGATGTCTACTTCTTCAGGGGACACATTTTCAAACAAACAAAAATTATACATTTATACATATTATTAATTAAAAATTAAATAGTTAAAACGGTATGTATAGAATAAAAATAATTTTGTAATATATTAATGCATATAGAAGTTGTTTGATTTATCAGTTCTTCTAAAGAAGTCACTATATCCCTGAATAGTAGAATCAAACACAGCTGAAAAATTATAAATTATCTTTTACTTTCAAGCCTTTAAATTCAGAAAAATATAGTTATAAATGTATATATATATATATATATATATATATATATATATGTATGTCCTGCTCCTATTCGAGTATTGATTCACTTGTTTCGGGTTATTGTAGGTATATTATTTATGACAAAACCGCAATCCCAATTTAATAAACCACAATCAGATTATCGTAAATTTCAGAACTCTAATATCAGAGAAATTTCCGTAAAGCTTTTCGTAAGTCAATTCATTACTATCTCGAAGTTGTGCTTTGGAATAAAACCATAATCCTTTTTAACAATTTAGATTCTGTGTGCATGATATATAGTTTCAAACTAATAATTTTCATTTGCAAATCTAAATGAAATATATCAAAACAAAGGAACATATTGAATAGTACAAAATTGAATTTATATTGAAAAACATATTCTTTAAATAATTTATGTTTTATTAGTTCGACAAGGAAGAAATTTGATACCAATGGATCCTAATGGACTATCTGATCCTTATGTGAAACTTAAACTGATACCAGATTCGGATAATGTTAAGAAGAAAACTAAAACTATAAGATCTAGTCTCAATCCAGTTTGGAATGAAACACTTGTATTGTGAGTACTGTCATTAGTTTTTAACATTTCAAAAATTTGTGGTTATCTAAAGTAGATGGATCAATTTTGTGATATGTAATATTAGTAGGTACAGAGTTCCTGAAAATTTATTATCAGATGCATGGAAATGGAAAGTTTAATTTAATTTTCTTTAATTCAAGATTGTGTAAAAATTTGACTCTACGCAGCAATTTTTAGACTTCTAATGTCCAATGTCCTTTCAAATATGAAAAGTAGAACTAGTTTGCAAAATAATTTTTGTGTAAATTATCTGGCCTTTTGATACACAAGATACATCACATTCTTCGACCTTTATTAAAGCTGGTGAATACACAAACGCATTATTTGATACATATGCGGAAAATCGGTGATAGTTTTTTTTTGTTTCAATTGAATTATGAGTTTTCGGACTACGGTCCAAACAGTCCAATAAATTGCTAAAAGTTTATTGTTTTATTCTAAACATGTATTGTATGTGCGTCGAAGGTATTCTATTTGGATAATATTAGTTTTTTATTGTCATTTATTGTTTTACCAGTGAACTCAAACCATCAGACAAAGACCGAAGGCTTTTGATAGAAGTTTGGGATTGGGACAGAACATCCAGGAACGATTTTATGGGATCACTTTCCTTTGGTATATCCGAAATTATAAAATCGCCAGCAGAAGGTTGGTACAAGCTGCTGACTCAGGAAGAAGGTGAATTCTACAATGTGCCAGTACCGGAGGAGGGAACTGATTTGGCGCAACTTAAAACGCAGATGAGGGTATGTAAAATTATAATAGAGAGATGGAAATATTGTAAAATTATAATAGAGAATACCAATATCAGCTTCTTGGTTTTGTCAAATCTCCTAAGTAGATCTCAGTTTTCATATAGTTTAACATTTTCTTTCTTATTTAAACTTAAGGTGAGGAGCACAGATATAGTTTGTTTCTTTACTTTGTTTCTTGTTTGCTTAGCTATTTTTATTGTTGATATTATCTGTTTAAATATTGTATTAACTTGTTTTAATTGTATATTTTAGAAAACATCTATAACCAAAAGGCCAACATTACCAGCTGATAAAGATGTTCCACATAATATGAGTAAAAAAGATGTGATACGAGCCACAGATTTTAATTTCCTCATGGTTTTAGGAAAGGGATCCTTTGGAAAGGTCAGTGCTAGAAATAAATAAATTAAAACCATTTTTTCATGAAAGTGTTGTGAAAGAAATGTTTTTAAGCACTTTCCAAAGTATTTATATTATATTTTATTTCAATTTGTATATATTTATTCCAGGTTTTATTAGCAGAGAGGAAAGGTACGGATGAACTATATGCAATCAAGATTCTGAAGAAAGATATAATAATCCAGGATGACGATGTCGAATGTACTATGGTTGAAAAACGCGTTTTAGCGTTATCATCTAAACCACCATTCTTAGTCCAATTACATTCTTGTTTCCAAACCATGGTCAGTTTGAAATAAATCATTAATGTCAATATGGATTATGTATAAACAATATTATTTACTTTTAAAGGATCGATTATATTTCGTTATGGAGTATGTAAATGGAGGAGATTTAATGTTTCAAATTCAGCAGTGCGGGAAATTCAAAGAACCGGTGGCAGTGTAAGTGAAAACTTTACTTTTTATAATTTTATCAATAACCTTTAACCTTGGACTTGAGGCAAAACCTTGGATGTTTAATACTTGATTGTCCTGCGATTTTGACTTACATTTGTTATTTTTTGTATTACAATAAATATTATGTTTTATTTAATAGGTTTTATGCTTCAGAAATTGCCATAGGCCTATTTTACTTGCACGCACGAGGAATAGTATACAGAGATTTAAAGCTGGATAATGTATTGTTGGATCAAGATGGTCACATCAAAATTGCAGATTTTGGAATGTGCAAAGAGGGCATTACAGGAGACAAAACTACGAAGACTTTTTGTGGAACGCCAGATTATATAGCACCAGAGGTAAATTGATTCTTGAATTGTTATTTTCTGTGTAAAATGCATAAAAAGTAGTATTTTTTACATTTTTATCTCGTAATATAAATACTAAAATATAATATAAATATTAATAGTTTAAGAAAATTATTTTTGTTACTCATTTAATTTTGATAACGTCGAGAAAACAAATTCTCCATTGGAAAGTTAACAAATTAGTTTACATCCTTTGTCTTCAGAATTTGATTTGATTTCGCGCCGGGCTATACTGCATCACTTGCTTTTGTCTTTTGGACTACAATTTTACTTTGGTTTATAATGACTGAATGTCTTTTCCCTGCTTCGTGAAAAACTTCCGCTATATTTGCAATTGCTACTTTACAAAAGCACTTCATTTATACCTTACAGACCGCAAATTCGCCGTTCAAATAGACAACATACTCTCGACGATTAAACAAGTGACGGCGGGAGTACCTCAAGGGTCAAATGTAGGGCCGTCACTGTTTAACGTCTTCATCCATGACATTTCCACCGTCGCCAATACAATACTACTAACTTTTGCTGACACTGCCATATTTAAATCATCACAATCACCTAGACTACTGACCACAAAAATACAGAGACACATAGATGCATTTACAGACTATACGGACAAGTGTAAAATCAAAATGAACCCACAGAACACAGAGGCTATCTTATTTACAAAGAGCCGTAGGTCTATTACACTGACTGACTTGGAAAAATTAAAAGTAATGGACCAAGAAGTTGAATGGTCCAAAAATGTCAAATAACTTGGTGTGACCTTGGACCATAGATTCAGCTTCACGAAACATATCAACATGAAAATCGGACAGGCTTACGGGATTATGAATTTACTTAGACCTCTTTTGAATCACAACAACCCGCTGAGCGTGAAGAACAAGCGGGCACTATTCTTGACATCAATAAGATCGATCCCTAGCAGCAATTTTTATGCATATTTCTTTCACAATTATTGAAATGTGGTATTTTTTGGAAAATTGTAAACTTTTCTCCTTTTTTTGCCCAAATATTATCTATGTTGTTATTTACTTTGATAATATATTATTTAGATATGGGATTTATTCTTGAAAATAAATTAATTTTTTTAACCCCTTAGCCTTTCAGGGAGTAATAATACACTATTGCGAATATTTTATCAGACACCAAATATGCACCCCACGTTCTCAATGAATATCATTATCTTTCACCTATTTGAATAGAATTATTGAAATGATTCCCAATATATTTTGCTGCAACTTGACTGGTATAATCACAATATTTAATTCATATTACATTATATGACTCACGTTTTTAACATTCGACAGATAATTCTGTATCAGCCGTACGGTCGATCAGTCGATTGGTGGGCCTATGGAGTATTGCTCTACGAAATGTTGGTCGGTCAACCACCTTTCGATGGCGAGGACGAAGAAGAACTTTTCGCCGCTATCACGGACCATAATGTTAGTTATCCGAAAAGTTTATCCAAAGAGGCTAAAGAAGTTTGCAAAGGGGTATGTAATACTATTATTATTTTGATAAACAGCAACTCTTTTAAAATTTTTATGCTTAGAAGATGATACTTTCAAATAAACAGTATATTTGGTAATAGAGGAAAATTAGTGGTAGTAGAGCAAATAGACTCGATGGATCATTCATTCATTGGTTAGATAATACGATTTTTGCGGAATTCTGTTAGTAGGTACTCACTACTCCTGCACCCTTAAAGATTGCTCAATTATTTTAAATCAGTTGTGAACTATCCAAAATAGTCTTAGGTCGACCATCGTAGATGATGAAGATCTTGCCAACAATTTATTTTAACAAGATAAAACTTTTATTTTTACTTGGGTATTTTTAGAGATGTATAACCAGTTGCATTTGTGAATATATTTAAAGTTTTGTCCAATTTAACTTATTTATTTTTTCCTTTTTACCAGTTGTTAACAAAGAATCCACTTAAACGGTTGGGTTGCGGAGTTAGAGGCGAAGAAGATGTCAGAGGTCACGCTTTCTTCAGGAGGATAGATTGGGACAGAATTGAAAACAGAGAAGTTCAACCTCCTTTTAAACCTAAAATTGTAAGTTATTCATTAAAATAATTAATTGCTTAAATTAGTTATATCTTAACTTACTTTTGAAATTGGTCAAGATTAAAAGTCAAACTTTGGCTCTAATAAACTTCTTTGAGAAGCAAACAAAAAAAAATTGCTAAAATGCATCTCAGAAATTATTAGTTTAATTTTATAAATAATAGTATTTATTGATGTTTTTTATCATTTACAGAAACATAGGAAAGATGTATCAAACTTCGACAGACAATTCACAAGTGAGAAGGTTGATTTGACGCCAACTGACAAACTCTTCATGATGAATTTGGACCAAACCGAATTTATGGGATTCTCCTATCTCAATCCAGAATTTGTGCAGCATGTCTAAGAAATTTAGGAGGACCAGTGAAAACTAATTTATCAAAGAAATTCACTCGAATAATGTGGCTAGTCGGCATTTGAAACACACATTTAAGAAATAAAATTTCTTACGTGTATATGCCAAAGTACAGAATTGGAATAATCAGGTATTGCAGAAATAATATATTCTTCTAATAGTATATTTCCTGATTCTTGAAGTGTTTTCGAATCTTTGGACACTGAATAATGATTTATCAACTTTTGGAAACTGTTCAATGCACTTTTGGGTAAAGAAATAACTAATCAGCAAATTGAATTAGTGAGTCGATACGTTGATATATTCTTATTTAGGTTCCAAATGGATTTCTAATAATTTTGTCAAATACTTTTAGATAACTAACTAGGCTAATTGTTATAAATAATTATTTAAACTGTTAAACTAGTATTTAACTTTAATTAGTATTGCCTTCTATTGATTTTCTTAAATCATAAAAATCTATTAACTTATTTATTTATTTGATTAGACTTAAAATTTTATTCCTAAAATAGCATCTTTAAGAAATAATTATCTACGAAGTTACCATTTTTAGGTGTTTGCTTTTGGTTGATATAAAGATTATAAACTGAAGGATTTCTTCTTTTTTATGCCTCAATCACATATTATTTTGGATAGAAACAAACAACCAATTCATATTAAAAAACAGCAATTATTTTATGATAACCATATTATAAAATTTCGAAGTTCCTTAGGATGAAACTGTCGTATGATTCGGGTAAATTATATTTAAATTCATCTTATTCCTTATTTATAAAAGTTGATAAATAGCAAATAAACTTGAAGGGTCGTTTACGCAATATATTAATACTATTTTATATCTAACAAAAATATCTCGATATCATAGTTTGTTAGATCTATCTTATCTTAAATCGATTATATAAACATTGACATTCGATTTAATAATATATATCAATAATTAAATGCTAATAAGTACCTTTATGAAAATCCAAATGAGTTATTATTATTTGGAACTGTTTAAAATTAAATAACATCTGTTACGTTGCGTTTATTGTTGTTTTTATTATTGTTAATTAATTTTATACACGTTATAATCTTTTTCTTAAGGCGTGATGAATAATTTAAAGAAAATGTTTTTCAAGTTAGCTAATAAAAACCTTAAGGAATTGATATAAAAATGTGCCAAAACCAAGTTTTGAATTACATTTTTAAAATTGCGCACTACTTATGTATTTTGGAGTTTAAAGTAGTTTTTTCAAAATGTTGCTTTTATGATGCATAATTATATGTATTACTGCCAGTGTTTGCCAAATATTTATCGCAAAAACCATATTAGGGAAAATATTCAATTAATTTTTCCTTGGCGCGACGCGTGTAGAATAACTAAATCTTGAGTGTCACCTATAGGTGACATCTGCTCGAAGACCGGTATGTAGGAGTGTCGCCTTTAGTCAGCTTTCTGATTATGAGTTAAATTATTGAGAATAAACACTGATTTGTTTGTATATTATGTATTTGTTGCAGTTCTTATTACAATCACTGATTTGTCACTAAGTAATAGTTTAAGATATATTTATTGATTTATTACATTTGTTGTTTTGCGGACTTTAGTTTTAGAAGTGAACAATTTTTACCAGGGGTAAAATCTCAATGCCATGAAGATTGTCGCCTTCATGGCCAATACAATAAAATAAAAGTACGCCCGACCAAAATTACTGTACGTTTCATCCTTACATACATATTTTGCATAAAAGTCCAGTTTTTATTTTGATTTGAAATTATGCCCCGATTTTTATCCCACTTCCAAAGTCAAAATTAAATCTTTGGCTACGAGAGTGTTTTCTGCAGCGGTGACCCTGCTGTACAGAACAGTAAGGCGCGTAATATACTTTAAGCTTTTTCAATCAATATCAATAAAAATGTATTTATAATGTTCCAAATTTCACTAACTAAAAATTACAATAAAAAAATTCGAATTCTTAATAATTTAACTCATAGTGTTAAACCTTGAAGCAAAAAAAAGAGACACTGTCGTCTAAAAGAGACACTCGTGCACACATGCCGTCAAGTGGATGTCGAATATAGACGACGTAGCGAAGACGTTAAAAATACTTTATTTTAATAATTTTTAGTCGAAAAATTTAATTTCTTCCACCAACGAGTAGATGTCGCCTATAGACGACGCTTGAAACTAAAGGGTTAAAAAAAGTTCATTTTATAGTAATTGGTCAAAAAATCTAATTTTACCCGACAAGTGAATGTCGCCTGTAGACGACGTTTGTAGCGAAAGGGTCAACAATAGTTTATTTTAATAATTGGTCGAAAAATCTAAATACTACTCATAAGTCGATGTCACCTATAGACAACGCTTAAAGCTAAAGGGTTAAAATAGTTTATTTCAATAGTAATTTGTCTAAAAATCTAACTTTTACTATTGAGACCGTCACATTTTTCTGTTAATTGCGTTTATATTTTCTAAATGTGTTTTTGGGCACAATAAGTTGAAGTATACATTATTTAATCTAGCGGTTTCCAAACTGTGGGTCGCGTACCCTCAGGGAGCCAGTCTGTTGCAAGGGGGCGGGGGGCGTACAGCTGTTTCCAAAATACTATTTTTGAAATAATATAAAAAAAATGTTTATGCTTCTTTTACATAATATTTCATATTAATTTGTAGTCTTGTAATATCAGTGGAGTATTTATGAAATAAAATTGTTAAAAAACATTAAGGCAATAGTTTTTTATCAGAGCGGGGAGGGCACCGCGCGTAAAAGATTGGAAACCACTGATTTAGCCACTAAATTAATGGACTACTCTACATAAATTGAATTTAAATCTTGTCCACCGGTGGACATGTAGTCTTTTTCATTTTATATAATATAAACTTAATATTTTTTTATAAATATAATTGTTATTATTATCCTACTACGTTATTTGTGGCGCTTGTGAAGGAAAATATCACTTCCTATGTGAACCAGAACTAGTTAATTCAACGATAAACTTTGTTTAAAAAATGTAAATGATAGTCATGATATAAATTTATAAGGTCATAATAAAAGGACCAAATTTATATTTCATCACCATATAATTCCAATTGGACGAATAACTCTACTAATTTGGCATACACTGTGCTCCACCAACTTTTAGCAACCAAAAATACCATAAATTTAAACGTACGTTAAGGCATATATTATTTAACCAAATATTAATATTCAATGTAATTTTAAATATTAATGGCGTAACATTTCTAATACTTTTTCCTTTAACACCAAATTCGATTTTTTCGAATAGTTAAAATGCTAAAAATTAAAACTTATACATTACAATACTTATATCATTCTAATTTTGTTGCAAAATATTGGCATCAATAGATCGATCAAATTGATGTAAGATATAAATTGTTTTATATATTTGGAACACAAAATCAAGATTTGATCGATCGATTTATCTATAATCAATTTCTTACCACTGTCAATATTTTGCTTTAATAATCAAAATTATTTTAAATAATTTTTATATGATAGGCAATCTATGTGCGAAAAAATATATGTGCAAATAAATTTTATAGCATCAGTCAGTGCATAAAACAACACGAATTTATAAAATTTATATGAATCATAAAAATGCTCTTCACTGTCACCAATTTTTTTAAGACTTTTATTATTCATTGCTAATTGTAAAAGATTTGTAGTAAGTCTAAAATAATACTCGAATAAAACAGTAAGACTTATTTTATGCTAATTTATTTTTGTAAGATGATCTGATATAAAATAGTAACTAATTATTCAATGTATTGACATAACAATTATTTTATTCGAGACTTGGCTCTTAAGTTATGAATTTCATATGACTTACAATATTTTAGAATGAAGTCAACTGAAATTTCTAAAGTTTAAAGACGATATAGATGTTTATAATATATTATAAACATCTATATTTTTATGGTTTATAGAATATTATAAATTATAAGTATATTTAATCAATTCAATTGACTTTATTCTAAAATATGTGTTGCAAAAAGTATGAAATTCATAATTATTTTTTTATTTAATTTAAACTTAAGGGCCAATTTTCGGATAAAATAATTACTATGATATGGGTTCGTTTGTTAAATAATCGCATGAGTCGGTAGTCAATAACTGTGAAAAAACTACGCACTATATTAACTTCCAAAACGTAACCTCCAAATGGCACCAATGTCAGATAACAATGTTATCATAAGTGCAACAATTTGTTGTCACTTCCGATAACACATGCATGAAGTCTAACTAATATTATTTTCTGACATAACTATTTTTTTTAAAAGAATTGGCCCCTTGTTGCAGTAAACAATACTTTATCAGCATTATAATAATATTTTTAAAAAGTTGCAAATTGGTACTAAATGTCTATATGGCAACTTGGTAACAAATAATTGCTTTAATGGCAAATACCACTTATAATTAATATTATTAAATGAAATCTCTTTTGATAAAAAATTAGATGCTTTAAGATTTTATATCACTCGATAAGTTCTAAACATTTAAATGCTTCAGAACTAATTTCTTTGGGAATTGATATCATAGAAATATTGGATAGTGAAAAAAATATAATGTCGATTTAGGGAATATACAGACAAAATGACACTGTTACGTTATTTAAAAATTGCTTAGTTTTAGTAACGTTTCCGCAATTTTATACCATGAAAAAATACATAATCACAACCATGCCAGATGTTGAGCGTCATTGTCACATTCTTGTCGGAGTAATCAATTCAAACGTGTATCGCGCTTTCAGAAGTTTATTTTGAAGTTTATATTGTCATGTTTGTTTGGCACCTATTTATTGATATTTGTAATTATTTCTACTAAAATCATTGAACTTATGCCAGTATTAGTGACTTCTCTCAACTTTATTGCAGTTATCAGGTGTCTAATGGAATTTTGATTAATTTTTTAGTCATTTTTGTTCACTTTTGGACAAAATGACATGCTTATACAATAGACAAAATGACATAGTACCATTTTGGAAGAACTTTTGTAT